TTCAACATATTTGTCTGGGAGAGTGGGGGGGGGGGGGGGGGGGGGGGGTGGAGGGGGTGATTAAGTGTTATAAACATCACTTTCATGGTGGACAACAGTTACTGTTGCCATGTTAATGAGAGTATTGTGCTGAGTGTCCCAAGGACTTCTGACCATGATTGTAGCTATGTTTAACTGCTTGAATATTATTTTGATTTTTCAGACAGCTGCCTTGTCCTTTACAATGGAGTTTTCCAGATATGTGTTGGCTTTGGAGTTCCTCTCAGTAAGAAAACAACATACATTATTTGCTAACACTTTAATACCAATCACTTGATGACATATAGTATGTATGTTCTATGGGAGGCATTTCTTTAGTCATTTGTCTACCCGGCTTCACCTCCCTTCTATTCTGTCTCATAGCCTCACCCTCATCCCCACTCCCTGGTCCTACTTTAGACACCTCCCCCCTCCCTAATTTTCCTTGCTCCTCTCGCACAATTGAATATAGTGATTGCTTACCATGCAACTTAGATGTAGACCAAGCCACTGGTAACATTGTGTGTATTTCTGCATCAAGGACATCATTATTTTGACTTTTAGTAGAAGTTCTTGCATGGAGATTTTGCACCTTTGGAAGGTTATGTCATGAGCTCATTTCAGTTTCCCTGCTGATTGTTATTACCAGTGTGATGCTTACATAGGATCATATGAAGCAGAACTCAGAGCTCAGAGCTCAACTTTATTCTCAGTTTTCATGTATTATAATATTCAATTTTAAATACCGTAGCACCCCGTTAATCTGACCACCAACGGTTCACCAAAATCTGGTTGGATAAGGAAATACTGACAGAACTTTAGGTCAGGACAAAAGAAAGTGGTCGTATTAACAAAGTGGTCATCTTAACAAGGTGGTCGTAAGGCGGGGTTCCACTGATGTGTATTTTTTAACCATTCTAGGAAAATATCCTGGCTGCTGGTGGAGAATTTGAAGGAATAAGAATATTGGACATTGAAAAGGAGCAGTGTCTGCAGACAGTGAAAGGGCATGCAAGAAGGTGACAAACTGTACATGTGGAATGTTTGAAATAAAAAATAACAACTTCAGTCAAGTAGGCAGTAGAAAAAATAGACTACGAGCAGTCCTTCTTTTCCTTAGTCCATCGAGCAGGAAGCAAAATAAAGCAAGAGGAAAAAATGCCATGCAAAATCCGATGGAGAGATGTGTGGGAAAAGAGGCGTGCATCTCACCCCCAGATTTCTTGCCCAGTTTGTGGGCTTATGTGGCGGTTTGTGCAGTTTGTTATCTCCTTTGAGTGTTTAGCCACTATCTTGGATTCGCAAAACGTGGAGAAAAGGGGTGAGTGAAAGAGGGTGAGGAAGGGGGCAGGGTTGGTGTCCCCCCTCCCTTGCCTTTCTGCCTGACTCCCTCTCCCCTTCGCCGTTCTATTGCACTCGCCCCAAGCCTCCAATGTTTTCCTAAACCAAGACGGTGTCTTATAAACACTCGATGGAATATTCAGCACTCGCTCGCCCAAAATACGCCTGTTTTGCAGGCTAGATTTCTTGCGGCATTTTCCCCTCTCGCTTTATTTCCCTTCTTGCTCACTGGACTAAGGGAAAGAGGGACTGCTTGTAATCAAAAAAAGCATTTCTGCTTGTGTCCCTTATTCATTACCCATATGAGACTCATCTGAGATTCAAGCCAAAAACATCCATACTGATAACATACTGTAGCTGTAAAGAGATCCTTGTATAGTGTCTCTGGTTGGTTGTTGTTTGGGCACAAATATCCATAACCAAGCTACAAGAACTACATGTACAGTCAAACCTGTACTATGTGGGTGGGGTGGGGAATGCTCTTGTGTCCGCCTAATAAACAAGGTATTATTTACAGTAAATGAGGGAACTGATAAATTGTGGAACTTTTAATACTGTCCGCTTAATAAAAGGTACAGTTTATACCGTGTCCGTTTAAGATAGGTTTTACTGTAGCTGTAGAACTATATCTTATAGAATTATTCTGCTTGAACCTCACTCGTCCCCTGCATGGCGGATGAAATGAGTAATGTCTGAAGAGAAACGTCTGTTCACTGAGGCTCGACTAGCACTAGCTAAGGGGAGCAAATCTTTGTAATAAATAATTCGTTGTTGTTGTTGTTGTGGTTATATGCAATTACTGCATGCTGACTTAGCACTGCCAACTTTGCAGGGTAAAAGACCTTTGCATGACTGAAGATTTACTGAAAGAAGATGACAGGCGTTTGCTGTTGTTTTCAACATCGTCTGATGGAGATTTAAGAGGCTGGGCTTTCAATCCGGAAAACGTAAGGAATTCTGCGTGTTCTACTTTGATATTTGAGCTTTTTTTTTTGTTCACGAAGATTGGCCATCATTGCTTAGCCCATTGACACCTGGGCTTAAAAAAAAACCATCAAGCTAACATCCCAGATGCCTATTTCTTCTACTTCGAAGCAATTATAGTTCAATATTTTTCTTCCATTTGACAGTTTGAAGAGGAACCCAAGCTCGTAGCAAGGTATGAAGTACCAGGTAGACCAACATGCCTGACAGTCGTGGGCAGAAGAACGCCCCCTGTCAAGGTTGAAACTGCGGTCGAGGCTATGGCTGTGGAACCCGGGGAGCTTGGGAAGGAGAAAAAGAAAACGGGAAAAGGAAAAGGAAAGGCTGACAGACGAACCACAAGTACTTCAGGTATTTTGGTTTTATTTTTGGTGCGTTTTAAAATCTTTAAGTTGTGGCAGACACGGTTTACCAAATAGTTAGAGCGTTAGACTCAGGGTCAAGCTGTCTGGTTCAAGCGCTGCCTGGGTCACTGTTTGTGTTGTGTTCTTGGGCAAGACACTTTACTCGCACAGTACCTCTCTCCACCGGCGAATTGTCAGGGCAACCCAATAAAAATGCATTCATTTACACTTCAGTACCAATCAACTCAGTTCGAGTGCGAACATTCGCCTAATGCAACTTCAAACTTTAAAAGTTTGAAACTCGTTTGAAACTCACTTAGGTCATGTTTTGGCGCTAGGTGCAACCGACGGTATATATTATATAGTCTAGAAAATTCACAACTGTTTTTGTAATAATCTTCAATAAACAGCTGACGAACCCAAAAAGAAAAAGAACAGGACAAAGAAGAAAAAGTCTGCTAAGAAACGGACCAGTTCAGGCCAGAAAACAACAGCAGAAGGAAAGGGCGACACGGCTGAAAAGATGACAGATGATACGGGCACGATGGAAGGGAATGAGAGCGGAGAAAGTAATGACAATAATAATGACAGCGGAGAAGAAGACGAGTGAAAAGTCACAGAAAAGTTTACAAGCGGTAGCTAACCGGGAACGAGTCAGGACGTTGACAAAATCTCTAAGATGTACGTGAGAAGTTTTGGACTGTCCAATCTGACATAGAGCTGATTCACCGGAAGTAAAAGCACCGGAAGTTATCACTTCATCTTGCAATGAGAACAAACACGTTGACCAAGGAAGTGGCGATTGCATGCTCACTCAATACCCAGTTCCCTCTATGAAACGCGCCTGCAGTGCATCGTGGTAGTTGTAATCAGCATTACAAGTCCAAGATGGCGAAAAATTCCCGCCAAGATCTAGAATTAGCCAATATGATTGGCCTGATGAAAATTAATTTGATGACATACGCCATGTCTACGCCATCCCGTTTGCTCGTGGTGACGTCTTGGATTTGTAATGTTGAATGCAACTACCATGATGCACTGCAGGCATGTTTCATTGAGGGAACTGGGAAGGCGAGTTTGACTTCAATTGTCACTCAGTCATATTCACTAACTTTAGTCCGAGGATTGAAGCCTAGATACATCACTGGTGTGTAATCGCTGGGAAGAGCAAAACCGTACATAAGTAAACAAAAACCCTAAACAAATGGCATATTAGCGATAGCTTGCAGTCAAGAGCGCCGTATACCGTTGCCTGGAAACGGTAAGGCGCTCTTCGCTGTAAGAGTAGTTTCGTAAAGTCACAACAAACGTTAACAACACAGCCAACCAATGAAAACTCCAAGCTAATTATAGTATACGTAACCGGCGCCAAGCGCGGGAAAACGCGTGTGGCCAAATTGCGATTGGTTTTGGTTTTGCATCTGATTGGTTGAGTAGGTGGCGCGAATTTTTTAAAACCAGTCATAGAGCGTAGTAAAATAAAAATCAAAGCAATTCCGGGATTAACTTGAAACAGAGAGCGATTATAGTATTGTGATCATATTTTGCTTAGATTTCAGAGTAGGGGTGTTAGAGAAATTAAAAGGAATGCAATAGTCACAGGAAAACACGTCAACTGTAATACAATAAAGGGTTTTGCCCCCGCAGGGTTTTGGCCTCTGAAAACCCGAGGAAGCATCCTTGGAGTCCCCGCTTAATAGTACTTACAGTATGAAAATACAGTTCATATACTGGATAAAATCTCGATTTGTCAACACTGGGATCGTGGGGGTGTATCGGGAAAAAACTGAAGTGGACGCGCAAGGGGTATCGGGAGATGTGATAAAAGCTTGCATGGTGATTGGTTAAAATAAGATACGCAATAAATCAAGTTTTTGATAATATCGGCAACTGATACGCCGGCTTCTTGCGCGCGCTCTCCTCGCGCTCGAACTCCCCTCATCCCTCCCCTTTCTACGCCTGCCACGCAGGCTAAATAAAAACAGAAAAAGAGAATGCTCGTATTCCACGATGAAGTTCTGTAGTAACAGATCTGAGCCCCGCACAACAACCATATCTTCCAAGATCACAAGCATATCACTTGTTCAACAAACAAACAGCATGTTCAGTCTACAGCGGGGGGCAACTGTAGTGAGAAGACTGAGAACTATTCCTAGTATAGAGGAAATAGTTTATTATCAATTCAGTAGTGTTATTAAGATGAGAGATAAATATACCACAATTAGTTCGCTGCAAATATAGCACGAGATACAGTGTTTGTATGGGAATCCGATTTCAAGATAACTGGCAAATAATTATCTGTGCGAAGTGGGAGAGACGGTGGCCTAATGGTTAGCGCGCTGGACTCCGGACCAAGCTGTCCGAGTTCAAGTCCTGGCCGGGGTCATTGTCTTGGGCAAGATACTTAATTCTCATAGTGCATCTCCACCCATGAGTATAGATGGGTACCGGCGACAAAATGCTGGGGGGTAACCGGCGATGGACTAGCATCCCATCCAGGGGAGTGGCAATACTCCTAGTCGCTTCATGCTACAGAAACCGGGATAAGCTGTGGCAGTTGTGCGCCACTAGGCTCGTGAAGACTTTACCAGTTGCCTTTTCAGTTGTGTCCGGTCAAATGCTTCTCAGAGAGCACACGATCATGACTTCTCTCAAATTTTGATCATGAAATGAAATCGTTTGCAATAAGTGTGAATATTTCCGAAATCAAACCTTGCGGAAATTATTTGATATCGTGGATTACCGTACAAGCGCTTATCTAGATCTCTCGACATGTTTGCCTCATTTTCAAACTGACGGAATATACCGCCAACTATTTTATAACACCGTGTCAATGTACGATTACAAGTTGTTATGTAACATCATGCAGGTAAATCACTTCCTTGGGTAAAGTCCTGTTTCTCCGTTAATAGATCGAAAGGGCTACATCAGCTTTTATAGCAATCGATATGCAAGCCTCTATTAAGTACAATCGTTAGGCTGGGGTGTACAATTAATATAGTGTTGCAGCTATAGTAACACCACCAAAGCCGCAAGCACACAACCCTTAAAATCTAGCCTGTTCCCAATCCCCACGCCTATATTAGATATTATATTATTCAATCGCCGTTCTTCGCGCTTCGCGCGTCTTTTCGCGTCACTCCCCCACTATCCGAACGCCTGGAACAGGCTATTAAAATCATGTTCATTAGTTAGCCTGTGTATAAAAAGTGGTAGCCTGTGTTGCAGGCGCTGGAGTGGAGAAGAGAGAGAGTTTTTAGGGGCGCGCGAGAGAAGAGACGCGCGAGGAAGAAGGGAAAAAGATACTACATGTAGTTCCACTTTCCTCGTCTCGTGCGTCTGTTCCCCTCGTAAGCGCCTTTCCAACTCGCGCTCTATATATATTACTAGCTCCAGCGCCTGCAACATAGCCTATGTTCAATTGCAAGTGTGCCGATCACTTACCGCGGGATCTGAAGATACCATACAAAGTAACAATTCAGAGGACTAACAAAGGATGGAAGAAAATGACTGTTGAAGGAAACAACGCGCGCGTGCGTACCACTGTTGGAACAAGTGTAACATGTAAATCCGGTTGGAGATATAGTTTAAATCTAAAAAAGCAAATCGCGTTTGAAAAAAATTAGATTGGTGGCTCGCCACCATTTTGAATCACATGACGTCACATGAGTGATATGGTTGCAACCTCGATCCCTGGCTCTCTCTCCTTTCCCTCCCTTTTGTCCCTTGTCTCAACGACAAGGGAGGAAAAGGAGAGAGAGCCTGGAATCGAGGTCGACAGACATCGGTCGACATGGTTGTCTCGTGCAAAAAAGAACTAGCGCTTTTGGTATATTCAAGGCTAAGAATACTAAAACAATACGTATGAAACTGAACGCATTCTACTTAACTTCATCGCCATGTTACTTAGCAACTCCATGTTTGCTTACTATGAACTGCACTGTCCGGCGAAAACCGCGCGGGCTAGCTCAACTGCACGTGCTCGATATAGACCTTATTCATAAATGGTGGCCGATTAATTATTATTTTATATTCATGCTAATCATTAGTATGTGCAATCGTTAGTATGTGCAAAATTCAAAAGAATTTTTACTCTAAAATGAGGCTAGGAAGGCCATGAATATAAAAGAATAATTAATCCACCGCCATTTATGAATAAGGTCTATAGCTTACCTAAAATTCCGAAAATATATCATGTTTTCTGGATGAGTGCTATCACCGTATCCAGCATGTGATCATTCTTATCTACAATCAGAATTGACCATTTATTTTCATTTACTCCACTTTCCTATATTAACGGTTATGCAAATACTGTTGAAAGTTTTGAGAGGACACCGAATATCCATGGAAACACTCTCCCAAATTGAAGCTACATGTAGGCGGTTAGTATTTTAAGAGATAGGGAATGGCGCGCGTGTTTACTGACATAACCTGACTCAGCAAGCACGAGAGAAAGTTTGGGAGAATTCGAAAGTTTATCTAAACCCGAGCCACAAGCCAGGACTTACAAAAATACTAAAAATTAAAGTACTTTAAAATAGTAAGTAAGTAAATGAAATCTTGTCTTGGCTTTCGAATTCTCCCAAACTTTCTCGAGTGTTTGCATCAGACTGCATCAGGCTATATAAACAAGAAGCGACCATTTTCTATTTCTTTTATAAAATAAAGCCAACAAAATGCAACCTCATGCAAAAGATTACTCGCGACAGCCAATCAGAATGCGCGAAAATAAGAGGGCATAATAAGAGGGCATAAATAAGAGGGTCGGGCTCAAGGATGATCCTGAAAGTGACGATGAACCGTGCGTGGTGACTACTGAACCTATATTTTGCTCAAAAGTTGCTCAGAAAGGCAAAACTTGCTCGAGGTTGCTAGAACTGCAAAAAGTTGCTCCAAACGCCAAAAGTTGCTCAAAAGTTGCCGAGCACAATCCGGGACAGGCCTAACCAGGACTTCTGAATTCCGGATCATGAGTCTAAGGCCATCCCCCCTTCCCTGTGCTATAAATAGCTTCACCACGCCTTGAAGGCTAGTAAACTGTAATAATTTGCTTTGGCATTATAAAGAAAGTTGCGTACAGTTTTCATCATCAGGCACCGAGCGTGGAGACTACGCCCATCAAATCACCCTCGTGGCGACATGACTGCCTGATGAAGGCAAAAGCGCAGGATTCAGCAACTGTTTTAAAATACTGGTATAACAAAGGTGTTTCGCCTCGAAAGGATCGGCGAACCTTTCGAGACGGAACACCCAAATGAATTGAAATTAAATCCCTCTTTAATACCATTTATATAGCATCGGATCACCCTAACTTATATAATTCTCTACAGCAAAAGGCCAGGTTTATTGAACTGCACTGGTAAGTATAATTAAAACACTACCAGACACGCACAACCGATACACGCCAAGCTACACGCATGAGCACAACCTATTATCAGTACATTTCCTTGGGGTCCTTGGGCATCCGTGAACAGCTGTTTCGCCCTTGTTAGGGTTCATCGGCATGGCATAGCGTCAATGCAGTGGCGAGCTCAGAGAGCTACAAACTCCGTCTCCGCCGCAGTACTAGCTAGTCTCAATACTAGTCTTCTTCAGGACCAGCCCGTTGCAATTAGTTTGGTTTAGTTTGCGATCGAATGCCGGAGTCAGAGCTCAAGCCTATCCTCGTTAGCCTCAGAACTCCAAGAAACGAAAATGGAAGGCAGAAGAGTACCCAGAGGTCTCCGCGCTCGTTTTCCTTGACGTGGCGTTTAGCGCCCAGTCCCTCCTTGCAGCCGCTGTTTTCCTGCGTCCGCCATTACTAAAACTTGGGTTAGATTCTTCTTACAATCCAGTGAATACGAGGCCATCTCGTCCTGTATGTAGTTGCTTCTTGAAATTATGGCATCTGGAAAGAACTGTGTGCTATTTCTGCTAGTTATTTTAAGCTTGGAAGCTATCACGGGAGACGAACATACGCATAAAGTAGGTCAATGTTAAGTTAGTGATATTTGTATCTCGATCTATCTCCTCTCCAACCTAGCTGATCCGGATCTGCTCTGTTGTGTTTTTTTCTGGGCTATGTTAAGACACTAGAAAATTTTATTTAGACATGGAATATTCCTAAGGATCTGATCGATCTTAATTTTCTCTTGTGTGTTTAATTCTTGAATCGAATGATCACGAAATTAAGTGAAATTGACACATCAGCACGGAATAACTATCAGTGATGTTGCGTTTTCATGCTTGCAAGTCTGCGTTCCATCTTGTTGTCCGATTGTTGCTAACACAAAAGTTGAACCTTTTAAATTTGGTGTTATGCGTTGGTTCAGCATTTTCATCGACCTTTTGCGGTGATACATGTAGTAACAGTTTGAATTATATAGTTGGTAGGAAATTTTGTTTGTTTACTGTAATCGTGGCTCGATCTTTTAATTTTTGTCATTCATTCGTGGCTGCTATTGGTTTTCAGTTCTTGTTATATATTTCAACTGTTGCACAGCAATTTCAATCATATAATTAATACACTGTAGGTACGAGCGTTGATCAGTTACTCGTTGTACCTTTTATACAATAATTGAGTTTCAATTTCAACATTCACGAGAGTATCGATCGAAACCTTAATGTAGCACGCAGTAAAATTAATTATAAATGAAGGGAGGGATGTATAGCTATTAAACTATTGCTGTTGCCCAGACCCAAATATAAATAACATGTTTATGATATATATCACAGTTGTTTTTCAGCTAAAATTCCAAAATTATTTGAAGCATACAGTCAACTCTCTCTTAACGGACACCTCTATAAGACGGACACCTCTGTAAGACGGACACCAGGCGTTGGTCCCTGTGTGCCATTTTTCAGTCATTTTACTGTATCTAAACTCTCTATAAGCTGGACACCTCTAAGACGGACAATTGTTGCCGGTCCCGATGGTGTCCGTCTTAGAGCGAGTTGACTGTAATACAGTGGAACCCCGTTAATACGGACACCTATGGGCCAAAAAAAGCTGGCCGTAATAACGGGGTGGCCGTATTAAAGGGGTTCTTTAAATAAGAAAATGACTGACTGAGCTTTTGTTTGGGCCAAAATAAAGTGGCCGTAATAACGGGGTGGCCGTATTAACGGGGTGGCTGTAAGGCGGGGTTCCACTGTAGTATCTACGTGTAGACACATCATTGTCGCCATGGTTTGATCTGTGTTTCCAGATTAAGTTTATTCGAGAGCCACAGATGGTTGCAAAATACAGTGTTTACCATGAACTATTGAAAATCCCCCCTCCCCCCCCCCCCCCCAGAAAAAAAAAATAATTAGCCCCCATATCTTAGCCTGTTCACAGACGTTTATTTTTTTTTCGTAAGATACCGCGCGCGAGCGAAGCGCGAAGAAAAAAATAGAACGTCTGTG